ATTTTTGGTGTAGAAAGGAAAAATGAACCAGTTTAAAAATTATTATTTATGGTCAAAAATGTAATAAAAATATGAAGGGCTTGCTTTTCTCTTTTATAGTTAAATTAAATGATAAAATTAGACAGAAACTAATTAAAGACTCATATTTTTACAATTAGACACAGGAAGTTCTCAGCAAGACAACAAACATGAATTACTAAAATAAGATGACCCTGTGAGTAGTAGTGCTTTATGATATGATGACATGACTCATCTCACATAGTGGCAGCATGAGCACTCAAAGAAAAAAAAAACAGTTATCTGCACATTAACTTGGAGAAGGAGACCCTCTGGGTTGTGTTGCAGAGAAGGGGTCGTACGGTTGCAGACATAAAAGAGGGATGGAGGCAGAGAATGGGGGGCTCTCCTCCAACCATTTGGTCTGGAGAGACAAAACGTCAACTGCCATCATGAAAAGCAAAAGAAGAAAACAAACAAATAAAATAAAGTTAAAATGTGCAAAATGGCTATTTTTGGTTGTGTTAAAGATTAAATTTAGTTCTTTCAGTTTTAGTTCTTTGTACGACTAAAAGAGCTGCATATTTTCTGTTCCCACAGGTGGAGATAGAATTAACTTATTAATACCAAACAGTGAAATGTATTTGCATTGAAGACAATATATATAAATACTAAAAGATTCTCTCATGACATGCAATAATAACAAATATATATATATATATATATATATATATTTGATTGGATTTTACATTATTCATTATGTTTTATAATGAATTATTTTTTAACCATTTCTGTCTTTGTAAATATCACGTGATTGTCATACATAAAGCGCACAAATTCTGTTGGAGTACACAAAGCGCACAAACATACACAAACTGCCAGAGGCTGCCTTTGTACACAAACACACTGTTGTTGTGATACTTTCATCTTTCAGCAAACATCATGATTAGTCACTGCAGATGGTAAAAACAAACATGTAAGAGATSCGCTTCTGATCTAAGGAACTGCATGAACGCTGCTGCCTTACACAATTTGCACAAACACAGTTGTTGTACTATAAATTCTGACACACCTTACACCACACACACAGTATTGGCAGAACTGCCGTTACG